TGCAGCTGCAAATAAAGATGAGTCATAGCAGCAGCTCAGCTCCTGATCACAAAATCAAAAACAGCTCAGAAGAGACAAAAGGGTTGCAGCAGGACGCAAATTCATCCAGAGTTATTTTAATTTGTCAAAAATATGGGCTGTTAAGTTTGAGTGTTAAGTCCAGGTTCTTGGGGAAATGTTTTACCATCCCCTGCTTTCTCAGAATCTATTAAAATCCAATGATGCCTCTCCTCCTCCCAGAGGACTGTGAGAGCCTGGAGCGTCATTCTCTCCACTCGATTGGCTGTTTCATGGAACAAGCAGTGTAGCCGCAAGGGAAGTTTCTGAAGTGTCAGAACAGTATCTATATATGTAGGCTTTAATGTCTTTTAAAACACATCAGTGATCTGTTTATCTATTGCTCAAGTGTCTGAACAAAGAAAACATTTGCCTAATGATTTGTCAGACATGTTGGAGTCTACATCTCTCAGCCCACTGCTACTCCTAGTAAGCTGCCCCCACGTGACAGTTTAATGACATCACTTCACAGGTCAGGCCTTAATCTTGATGTTAATTTCATCACAGCTCCATTTACAATAGTGGTATGTGTTTTTTTATCTTTTTTAATTTGTAAGATATATGAAGTATTATTGCAAGAAATAATTAACCTTTAGTTGATTTATGTTTTCAGTATATAGAGATATATTTTAGCAAGACATCTTCCTGTTCTCTAATCTGCTCCTGCTGATGTTTGCTTTTTGGGGGCTTTTTACAGCTTTATTTTTCGTAGGGTTGTCTAAAGACAGACAGATAATGGGACAAAGAGAGTGGGAGATGACATGCAGCAAGGGGCCAGAGGCTGGAATCAAACCCAGGTCGCTGCAGTTAGGACTCATTATTTATTTTTTTTAACTTCTATTTATTCAGGGAAAGGTTTACTTAGAGGAAGCCTCTATTTTGCAGGAACACCCTTATCACATTCACACAATTACACATTTGTATCTGGAGGCTGCTCACTACAACCACAGTGTGATCTGCTGGCCACTGTGCAACTCCACTGGAGTGGTTGGGGTTAAAGGACTTGCTCAAGGACATCTCGTCATGGTAATGAGGGTGGTGCAAGTGCTGCTTCTTCACTTTCCCCACCCAGAGACTTTATTTTGTGGTCCAACACTTTCATACACGCACACACACACACACACACACACACACACACACACACAGGAGCCAAGTAATCACAACAACTATATGAAGTTGATTTCAATCACCCAAAACTGCTCTACGATACTGCAACAAAATCTCAAAACCCTGAATAATGCCAACGGAGACCAATCGCCTGAAGGGAGGACACAGTTTTGCCCTTTCTGGTATCATATGAAAGTAAGTGTTATGCTATGTAGAACTCCATTAGTGGGAGGATGCATAATAAATCCAAAAAGAAAGCAAGCAGTTAATACAGAGAGAAATAATACTCATTACATTAAAACAAGCTTTATTTGTGATAAAAAATTATGGTTGTTGGTAAATGTATAATTTTATTTCTTTCATGGTGGCTTAGAACCCTTCTTATGGTAGCTCAGCTCCCTATAACTCAAACCCTGAAATTATTGGTAAAACATCAACAACTTGCTGGCAAATGTGTAATTCATATTACAGCACCTGTAACTTTTAATGTTGTTTACATTACTGTGACAAATTTTTCAAAATAATTACATTAAGATTTTATTGTTCAAAAAATAAATTCATTAACATGACGTACAACAACATTGTTACATCACACACCCTTTTCAGTTATTTAAACAGCAAACACCTGACACAGTTTATAATAAGCCACTCCAATATACAGTCTATAATAAACATCTAATGTACATTTACATATGTAGGGGTTACACTACTTAAGAATAATAGGAAGGTAATTTAATGCAGCTGAACGATTAATAAGCTACAGCCGAAATGGGGCCACCACACGCTCCGTTGTTTAGCTAGCTGGAATAAGTCCAGAGGAAATTATTCCCACACGATCTAATCAAATCAAATTTCAACAAGCAATTTATTCAATCTCAAATCTATAGTTCAGCTCTCATATTCTGAAAGTAGCTGATTTCTTTCTAGCACAATTCATACGATTCCCCCACATAAAACAAATCCGCACAGACACAGGACCATACAGTTTAGAGTATGTTTATTTAAAAACGCTAAAGGATTAGTGTAGGAGTAAATAAGGCATGAAATGAGTAATGTAGACACAAATGAGCAAGCAAAAACAGAACAGCGCGAGCAAGCTAAAGTGGACACGTAAATGAATATCTGATATTGGATGAATTCCAGCGGAGGCGATGGGCTGGATTTTGTGATGGCCAGCTAAGTTAAAATATTACGTAGGAGCTAAAATCGGTTAGAACTACGGGAGGCCCTAATCGAAAATTTTCCTAAAACTTAAAAGATCGGGAAATCACAAGCCCTTACAGATGTTGCCTGCCGATAATAATGTCTTGTTCGCGGCTGCGCAAACGTTTGTACGTCTTTCTTGAGGCAGCTCAAGCTCACTACGACGTCCCTTCTGGCGTGATCAATACATGTCTTAGAGTGGTTGGTCTTCAGCTGTCTGCATTTCTAAAGTATAGTTTCAGCGCTTTCTTGTTCGAAAATAACTGGAAGATGAAACGCGCTGGCGCTGGTCAAATCCTCACGTAGTCAATAAATCCAGAGAATTAGATTAAATTTCACTTTCTGGCTGTGAATAAGGCGACAATAATTGCACGAATACTATATATATAAATAAGACTACAAAAATTTAAAAT